TTCCCGTTCAATTATATAATACTTCCATTTTGCATGGAATGCAATACTTTTATTTATTATGATGGGATATTATTTACTTTTAGTCCTATAATATTTATATTTATTATATTCTTTACGATCTATAGAATACTACTACTATAATTCCATAACATACGCATCATTTTTATTCTTGATCACATCTTATTACCTTTATTCATATTTATTACTGCAAACCAATAATTTTATTTGTGTATAGCATATTTAACATTTTAATTTTTTTTTCAATAAATGTGTATGAATCAACCCTGCGTATCGTGCGGGTTTAACATGTAGTTCAAATAAATAGTAAAATAGAGAAAGGTAAACTGCAAGGGAAGTAACTATATTCTGTAAAAGTCTCTCTCTAACTAATTTAATTACTTTAATTCCAAAATAAGTAACTCAATTAACACAAAAAAGTGACAAACGAAGTAATTCCCTTTACATTTTGCGTTAAGCATGTCAAAACAGAAAACTTGTGCCTAACAGTGACTTTTGGGCAGGGTTATGAGATGTACATGTCCACAACTTTGACGAGATTTGGTGTGAATATGTAACTTCATTTCCCACCAAATTATTATGTGGTATATACACTGTGTTAAAATTGTCCCAATCTCTGCGAACCATCCAACCTTTTATTCGCAATATCGGGATGCCCACAGATTTCCTCCGCCTTGACGATGATTTTGACGTTGCTGACTTCGTAGGTGTATTCCTGCAATTTGATGGCATTTAATTCAACATATCTAAAATACTTTCGGAATTCCGGAAGTTTAATCGAGTGTTTAGTCAACCTTGTAATGGTTTCATGGTTTGGTTATGCTTTCAATTAAGAAAAAAGAACAAATTAAATGTATTCTGGGAAGATGATAGAGATTGATTGATTATTTGATTATCCTAGTAAATGAAGTGATTGAAGCATTCAACTTTCTGCTTTTTTTCTTTTGAACACAATTTCCCCTTTGACTCCCTAAGTGCAAGCGACAGGATTTTTTCCCCGTTAGTTTTAACGGCAATATTACCTATTTTGGAATTAGATTAGTTAAATTACCTAATTGAGTAGGCTTGCGTTAGTTGTCTGCTGAGTAGGACTTTTATATTGTACAGTTACTTCCCAAATCATTCAATACATATTAAATTTTGAAAATACAGTATAATCTCCCTAAATTAATTAACTATTAATTAATAACCTCTATTAAGTTTTTTTTTTCAGGTCCCAATTCGTGACCAGTACAAAAAATAAAAAAATTCGATTCATATATAAGATAATAATTTTTCAAGAATCTCTTATGTAAATTTTGGTTCCCACAATTTCATATATTAATTAATACCTAAAATAATAATCCAAAATTAACTTAGATTTTACCTTAGCTATTATTGTTTATATTTGCAATTATCATATTTTTGTTCCATTAAAAAAATTATAATGTTATAGCTAAGATTGCAACGGATTTTTCTTAATGTAAAAATTATAAATTTTTTACTTTTTCTTACTTATAGAATTGAAAAAAAAAAATCTTTAAATCAATAAAGATCAATTTATTGATAAATTAATAATTATTAATTTATCGACAAATTAATAAATTTTTGAAAGACCAAGTGTATTAATTTATAAAAGTTTTAATGTAAAAGATTGAGTAATTTACCATCAAGATCAGTATATCCTTTAGAAATTTAAAGCGTGAGTAGTGGTTGCTACCATATAATGTGGGGAAGTTAATGGCGTTTTTATTATTATTATTATAATTTTTTGGAATTGATTAACTGTTTGCTAAAGACAAGATAAACTTTCGTATTCTTACTAACTCGGGTATGCCTTTAAATGTTAAGTCTAATTTTCAAAAATCTAAAGGTCTTATTTTACCACCTATTGAGGGCACATATCCCCTGTGACACTTTCTAATTGTGGCATTTGCTCTGACATTTTCTAATTGTAGCATTAACTGTGACACAATGCAATTATTTCTTATAAATTATGAAAATTGTGTTAATACATATACCATAATCACACAATTTTAATTATTTTTATATCAATTTATTATTATTTTTACGAAATTTGACTATTTTTATTGAATTTTTTTACTATGAATACTAAACGAAATAAACCCTAACCTAAAAAAAGTGAACACTTAGTTTTAAAATATAAAGTTCGAAACTGATTGTTAATAATATATATATATATTAACACAAATTATATAATTATATGAAATAATTGAATTTTTTCAATGTGAGTGTCGAGAGAAAATATCACAAAGGATCTAATCCATTATGGTATTTCTTTAACAATGCCTTAATATGTACGCTATTACCTACCAGCCTAGTGGTTAGGCTGCTGTCCTTCCTGGTAATAAATCAGGGTTCCATTCCCACCAGAGGTTGTAAGAGGGGGGTTTTACCCACATTTAAGTGGGGTCTACTGGGTGAATTTTTTTTTTAAAAAAGATATATGTTATTAAAAGTAGTTTGTGGGTGACCCGCACATTGTGCAGGTTGTAAAATTCCTGCATTATTTGTGTAAAATAAAGATTATAAAAAAAGTAAGAGTAATAGCGTTGAAAGATGCATTTATATATACTCAATTAGTCCTATAAAAAAATATCCAAAATTCTCCCAAAAAATATAGTATAAGCATAAACTTTTCAAGTAATTACTACGCACAGATACTCCACATCCATTGAGAGTGCCTGCATTGAACATAAACCTATATTGAATAATTAAAAAATGTATGAAAGCAACTCGTTAAAAAAAAAAAAAACTCTAAGAAAGGAACAAAAGCTTTAAAGTAAAATGAAACAGAGAGACCTACATGATTGTTTTGAACTGTTTACTATGATGGAGTTTAAATAGAACAATATTTAACAAATCACATATAAGATTTAAGATAGAAGTAATCTAGGATAACTTGGACTCTATTTTAAAAAGTTGTTGCAGAAAGTTAAAATAAAATTATCTTTTATGGTTAAGATGCACTGTAATCACGGTTAATTTTTTTTTTTTTTTTTACTTCCAAATTAAGTGAGTTTCAAATTTCATGCCAAGTAAGCTATTTTCATCCTGTATTAATATATATAGATTGCAGCACAATTAAATTCAAACTTTTAAAACCAACAAGCACTTGGTCCAAGTGGTAAAGATATTATGCCAGCTTAACCATGACCCGGGTTCGAACTTAGGTATAGGCATGCAACAGCGATTAAAATACTTGTTGGGAGAGTTTTGCCTCCCGAAAGGGACCTATCCAGTACGAATCCAGATTAGTCGGAGCAATGATTTCGGATACCGAGTGTATAATACACCAAGAAAACAAATTCAAACTGTTCAAACTAAAGACAATAACCTCTCAAATTCATACACGCACATACACACAATATATATATATATATATATATATATTTATATATATATACATTTTATATATATGAAGGAGTTTTCAAGAGAATGAAAACAGTAGAAGTAATTTATTGTATTTTATTTCTTACAAACAAATAGGAACGGGAACATGAATTTGTTTGTATGAAGAGGACAACATATGATGACTGATCCAATTACTATTGTTTATAATAAAAAACGAGAAATTATTAACTACAAATTAAATCAAGCCGCATCTTAATGTTAGGATCTTGTATTTTTAACTGTGAAATTGAGGATTCGATTCCTACTGTCGAAAGTAGACAGCTGCTCAAAGGAAGCAGAAAATCTTTCCTTTGTTCCCTAAAATAGGTTTCGTTGGTTTATTACAATATTATAGTTCTTACTTAGATACTTATATATCTACTAGCATTTTTATCTTTTTCTATTGATTAAATTTCTTAATTAGAAATGATGCAAGTTCAAGTAGATCAGCTCATTGTGAACTTTGTAAACCAATGGAGAGATGCATTACAGAATTCGAAATTTAAAAGGTTGAAGAAGTCAACATTTGGTGTTAAGATAAAAAGGATGATTCTCGGACAAAGTTTAGCTTATAGCGGTTTTTCGATTATTAGCCGTTTTGCCCAAAAGAATATTTGGTTGTTCTTTTACTGACTTAAAGTAGGCTATTCAATGATATAATCATATATTACCTTGAAAAAGTATGCTTTCTTGAGCTTTTGTTTTGCAGAAGTCATGTGGTGAGTCTTGAACCTATCTTATAATCCACACTTGGAGTTTCTTCATGAAACAATAATCAAACTTCTAGTTATTAGTTCCATGGAGTTCATCAGTAATTTTCACTAAAACTTTTCAATTCATGTACATTCACATACCCTTGAGCAAAGAATAATCCAAAATATTTTGGCGAAGCAAAGTTTTATTTAGGATGGGAACAAAGCATCCAAAATCCAAAGGAAAAAGAAATCATCCAGTATATTAGTTGATCAATAGTTATTGTTATAACACCGAAAACAAAACCCAAACTAAACTTCTTCAAAAGAAAAATTAATACCGCAAAATATCAATAAAATGCAGTAGACTCATGTTATTCATTTCATTACACAATATTAATTACTATACCAAAAACAAAACTCAAACTAACTTCTTCAAAAACAAAAATTAATATAAAAAATTATTAATAGAATGCGTTTTGTAACACGCAACAGATCCTTAGCACTAGTGTATTACCAAAGATTAGATAAATTCCTAAAGATAAACTTTTCTTTAATTTCCTACTAACACAGCATGCCTTTTAAACTTAAGTCTAATTTTTAAAAATCTAAATGCCTTATCTGATCATCTATTAGGACATTTAGTCACTATTGGCTGCATAGTTCCCGTCTATTGTGGTATTTCTTTAACAATGCCTAAATGTATATGTCATGAAAAGTAATTGTAGTACATTTCCTTTCAAAAAAGAAAAAAGAAAAAATTGTAGTACATTCAAATTCAAACTGTTAAAACGAAAGTCAATAACCTCTCAAGATCCTATATATATATATATATATATATATATATATATATCTTAGGAGTTTTCAAGAGAAAGAAAGCCGTATAAGTAATTTATTGTACTTTATTTCTTACAAACAAAAAGGAACGGGGATATGAAGTTGTTTGTATGAAGAGGGCAACATATGAATAGTGGTCCATTTTCCACCATTTATAATCGGCAACAGGAAACCATTCGCTAAGAATCAAGTCCTCTCTTGATAGTCAGAGAATTGTACCTTTAAACCCAAAATTAAGGATTCGATTCTTATCGTGTTTAGTCTATGGTTAATTAGACAGGTGGTCTTGCACGTCAAGAAACTGACACGGGTGGGGTGGAGTGTCTTCCTAATATATAGTGCAATCCACTTTCCTAATAAGTTTCATCCCGTTGTAAGAGCAAGACAAAAAGAAAAAAAAAAAAAAACCATTAATCTAATTACTGATGGCTTCTCGCATTTCCATCTCACAAACTAATTATTCCATCTTGAACTTGAAGAATCAAACTTGTAGTTTCCCGAGATATGGTTCCTCCTACAGCTCCTTATCCAAACCATTGATCCCATCAAGCCCCATTTCAGCTATTAACCCTTCTTTTAGCAGTCATGGCCTTCAAGTCAAAAATCAAATTCGTTCTTGTTACAGCTCTAGTAAGACAAAAACAACATCAACCTTAAGCTCCTCGAAAGTTGTCCCCCTTCTCGATAAACCTAAACCTGGGCAACCTGAAGAATATGTAGAGATTCGAGACCAGCGTATAGTTTCTTGGATCGATTCATTGCCGGAGAAGATTCAACCGTACGCGTATCTCATGCGGTTGGACAGGCAAATTGGAACCATCATTTGTGCATGGCCAAGTATGTGGGCAGTGGCGCTCGCGGCGGCGCCCGGCTCGTTGCCGGATTGGAAGATGTTGGCATTCTTTTACTTTGTGTCTTTCTGGTACAGAAGTCTCGGGTGCACCATCAACGATTATTTGGATAAGGACTTTGATGCACAGGTGATGATATGATGATCGTTAAAATGTTCTTTTTACTTCTAATTCCATCATGTTTCTAAATGTTTCCATATCTTTGGCTTTAAATTTGCTGGTCCTCCACGATTTTGATTTCCCCTTCTTTCTTATAGTCTATTTTATGTTTTTTTTTTTCTGAAAACGGTCTATGTTAAGTTGTTAGAATGAATTTAAAAAAAAAAAACAGAAAAGTAGTCACATTAATTTTTTTTTGATTCTATTGTTTTTAGTACAGTGTACAAAATACAATGTTAATTTGAAATAACAATAATAATGGAAAAAGAAATCAGGACTCTTTTTGTGAACATGTGATTGATGTTTTGTTCATAAGATGAAGACCCCTAGATGCAACTACAAATTATTACACCTACTAATACTATCATTGTCTTTATTAATTGATTTTTTTCGCAAAAGAAATATTTAAACTCCAACTCCTTCCTCTTTATAGAAGTTTTAGGTTAATCTTGAGAAATCTTTCTTTTTTTTCCTTTCCCTTTTCCTCATCAAACAGTAATGCTCTGAATCACTAAATAAAAAGCAATAATGCTCCTTTCATACAAATAAATATAATTCTTATTTTGAGAAAGTGAGCAACTTATTTTATTTGATGATACTAACAATAGTTTTTCTGAAGAGTAGGTTGAGCGTACAAAACGAAGGCCTATTGCCTCTGGGGCCATTTCAGGACTTCAAGCAATGATATTCCTGGCTGTTCAAGTGGTACTCGGTTATGCCATGCTTTTCCCTGTAAACCAATTAAGGTTTGTTACTTCGTTTCAAGTTTAAAATATTACAGCGGGAAAAAAAATTACTCATCGATCAAGAAAAATAGTCCAATTTATTGATTTAAAGTAATATGAACATGAACTCTTTTTCTTTGATGGAGAAAATGATTCATGTAAATTGACAAACTTCAGGATTTGTAAATATGATTAAACAGCTAATTTGCAAATATAGTTTATCGAATGAAGTGTTTTTGTAAAAAAAATCTTCTTCTTCTTCTTCTGTTATTTATTCATTTATTTATTTTTTTTGGGAACAAAAATGGGAAACATATATGCTACCCAAAACCAGACTCTAACATAGTTGTATTCATTAATCTTCTTTGATTACATGCAGCCGGCTATTATGGGTTTCTTCAATGCCATTGTTGTTCACCTATCCGTTCATGAAGAGAATACTACCTTGGGTACTTTACATATCTCTCCGATTATTGGCCTCGTTGTTTGAAAGGGAAATCTATATTTTAGTCCTATATTTGGTAAAAAAAAATTAAATTAGTCTCAAACTATTAAACTGTTTAGTTTTAGTTCTCACGTATGAACAAGTTCTTGGGTTTAGTTCCAAGTGTCGCTAAAACATATTTTCTGTTACAAAAATAGTACTTTCAGTGAGACTTACAACAATACTTTGAGACAAAAACCAAGCATATGTTTAAAGTTGGGCGCTTGACTTCAATAACCCACTCCCCTCCCCCCAAAAAAGAAAGAAATGGCCAAAAATAGTAACAGAACGGGAGAGTGGCAAAAAATATGAATATCGGATTTTCAAAATATGATTTTATGTTGATATCGGATTTTAAAAATCAAATTTTCATTCACATGCAAAAGTTAATATCGGATTTTCAAAATCTAATATTCATACTTTTAGTCACTCCCCTATGCCTGAATTATTTTTGGCCACTTATATTTTTTCTTGATTACTTTTTTGGTTAAAACTCTATGTTTAAATGTTAAAATTGAAACTAAGTAGGTCAATAGTTTAAGACTAATTTATTATTGGATTTTTCCGAACCTTAGAACTAAAACGGAGGTTTCTCTTACTTGTCTAAATTATCCTCGCTCCATCTATAAAAAAAAAATAAAAAAACTTCTTTCATTGTAATTTTTTAAAAACAAGATGATTGTTTTAACTATCATATTAAAATAGTACAAAAATTTGACTATTCGGAATGGGAGGAGTTGGTACCAAAAATGAGAATTTTCGGAATAAAGATTTCTATATACTGCTTCTTTCTTTTATTTATTTATTTTTTGGGAGGTTTGTCTTACTATCATCGTGCACGTACTATTATTACCTTTCTAATTTCTTCATAGCTTTTTAACAAAGTGGTTAAAAATGGATTCACGCAGCCTACCCTCCAGTTTGGCTTCACTATCAACTGGGGAGTTTTGTATTCTTGGGCAGCTGTTAAAGGAACTCTTCATCCCAGCATTGTTTTGCCACTCCTCATGAGTAGCTACATCTGGACTCTTGAAGCTGATGCACTTTACTCCCACCAGGTACAAATGATAAATTCCTCACTCCTGTAGAAAGGTTTCAATTTGTAAATCAACTAAATCAATATATAATATAATGGAATATTTTTCTGGAACGAGAAAAATATAATTGTATGTTGGTGGTACCACAGAAATAATTACATAATATATATTCTTCTGTTATGGAAAAACAATCATGATAGTTCATTAAACTGTTATATTTACAAGAACATTGACTCTTCTTCTTCTTCATTTTTTTTTGGTTTAAAAACGTTGACTCTTTTGTCGGCAAAGAGAATGTATACAGTTACTGATTCAGTATTTGGAGTTTGTGTAATTAATAATGCAACACGTGTTCTCAGGATAAAGCAGACGATGTGAAAGCAGGAGTCAAATCTGCGGCGTTGTTTTTGGGAGATTCAACGAAACAAATTATAAGTATCTGCGCTGTGGCATCCGTTGCTAGCTTAGCACTAAGTGCATTCAATGCGGATATTGGTAAAGAGAGAAAAGTTTTATTGATAGAAAAAATAAATACATGTAATGAAAATATGAATATTAATTTTTAAGTAAGAAATATGAAGGGAAAAAAATATTAATTGGGGTGCTTGAAGTTTACAACTGACCCAATATCTTTTCTCTTGTGGATGAAACAGGGTGGCCATTTTATATACTAATGGTTCCTGCCTTTGCTCAACTGGCTTGGCAGATTTATGCAGTTGACCTAAACAATCCTGCAGATTGTGGTAGGAAGTGAGTATTTTTTAAAGAAATTTTTTTGGTAAAAGATAGACACATGACTTTTTATGACACCTTTTATACTTCTATAAATGAAAATCCAAATTAGACAATAATTTCAGGATGGAGGGAGTATTAAATTTTCTGTGACACTACTAGTAGTCATAAATGATTAAACCATGCCTCCATGATTAATATTAATACCCGATGGTTAAATGAAATCCATTTGATTGATAAAGTAAAGACATATCGACTATTAAATTAAGGTTATACAAAGTTTAATAAAAGCGCTACAGAATATCATTTGCATAAGAGACTACTGCTTGGCCCCCAGATGATCCATATGATTGTTCCATACTTATTAGTCATACAAAATTAATTACATTTCTTTTTCTTTCCTTTTTCCATCTAGATTTCAAACTAATAAATACTATGGAGCCCTTGTCTTCTTCGCCATTTTAGTTGGAAGACTGTTTTCGTAAAGGTATACTACTAATCACTTTCATCTTTTCCTTAATATAAATCCCCCCCTCCCTGATTATTGCTATGTTAGTGTCTTTATAACTTTTATTACACGTATTGTTTATCGTTTTTATATCTACACTTCACTTTATTTCCTTTTCTTTAATTCTTCTTCTTTTGGCAGATGACAAAATTATTTGAATTGGTCAATCACCTCCTCCCTGAATAAATTATTTGATAGTGTTGGAGGACTTGGGATGTGAACTTTCTTCCACGAGTCGATGGAAAACGTGAAAGATGGATGTTTTAATCATAACTAGTTTTAGAACGCGCGGCACATTCTATCAATAATATGGGACATTGCATTTGCATTTTGAACAAGTTGGAATCGCGCGTTCTTTCAATAATTTGGGGCAACATTTTCAGATTTTGGACAAGTTGGATTATATATAACAGTTTGCAGTGATGTTGTTTTCTTTATAGGATAATTCTGTTTATTGAATTTGTTTTATAATTTTATTACCAATGCAAGAAACTTCCAAGGACGGCATTCACAAACACACACAAAAGAAATGTCTCTTTTAACTCAACATTTAAGTTTTTTCGCCACATACTCTTGAATTATGAAATAAAACAATAGGATAATACTTAGCAATTCATTTTACTAAATTAAATCCTTATGCCAAATAACAAATAGAAGTGCCAAAAAAAGCACATAAAAATGACACTAATTTTATTATTCTAATCTATACATCATGTCACCAGGCAAAAAGTTTAAAGTAGGCATGTCTACGGTTCCGGTTCTAACCGAAATCGAACCTAAACCGAACCGACGGTTACAGTTCTTTAACCAAAACCGTAATTGACGGTTTTAAGAACCGTAACCGAACCACATGATCAAAGTTTGGTTCTTGTGTTTAAAAAATTGAGAATGAGCGGTTCAAACCGTCGGTTTTAAAAGGTGTTCTAACCACTAGTAAAATATCGGTTAACACTAATTTTTTTTTTAAAAAAAGAAAATTAAATATTGTTACGGTATGAAAATGTTTGACTTATCTCGTATCTAATTCTAGAAGCAGTGATTACTTATTATTTTTAATTAAAGAATAACTTAATCGAAGAAAAAGAATAGTGCCGCGAGTCATTGATACTATACAAGCATTCCCTAAAAAACATTCGTACATTTGTGAGTTAATTTAACTTCTATAGAATATTTCATTAAAAAAATGTCTCAATAATTTAAAATTATAAAAACCTTCATAAAATCACATGAAAACCATCCCCAAATCGAATCTAAACGAGAGTCTAAACTTTTGGCTTCAAAACCCGACACAAAACTCACATAAAGATCATCACATGTCATAACCGAAATCGAAACCTTCGATTCCAAAACCAAAACCGGAACCTCTTTCTCAAGGTTCGGTTTTGGTTCCCATCATCATGATTTCAGAACCGGCAGTTCCAGAACCGAAACCTCCGATTCTGGAACTGTGGGCATGCCTAGTATAAAGCAAACTAAGTGACATTTTTATTAGGAAGAATCGACTAATTAGTCCCAACCTAGACACCTTAACTTTGTAATATCATCCTCATCTATTCATATTTATCAGTTTAGTTCTAACATATTTTTATAATTTATTTAGTTAATTTAATCTATTTAATCGAATCTCTTAATTCTTTTAAAGGAGTTTCATTTACCGACCATCATTTATTTCTTTTAATTTAAAAAACTTTAACGAACCCATTCTTTTAATCCTACACCCTTATAAATTAACTCCTCTTAAGTTAAACTATATACGTCTGAGAACACACGTAAGTAGAAGACGGTGCCAGATTTCATCGGCCGGGTGAAGAGAGAATCCGCCAAATCTGATGACGAAATTGCGCGCAAAAGTTCGAAGAGAAAATTCGGCTCTGAATTATGATTAGTGTTTCTAGCTCATTTAATAAAGGGGATCTTATTTGATTTTGTTTGCTTGTCTTTGGATCTAGGAACTATTAACTAATTGGGAGCTTAATGATGTGATATTGAAAGTGATTGTTTTTTTTTTTTTTGGCGAAATGTGAATGTATTTCATTGAGCATCATCAACTGAACTTGTATCAAGAAGCTATTACAATGCCAAGACTTTCCAAAAACCTAACATCATCTCCACTTCCATTCCTATACATATATACAATTCTGCATTTCATTTCCTGTTGTATTTGCCTGATTCGGTCCCCAGGAGCCTCAGTTTTTTGCTGGAACAACCTTTTGTTCCTTTCTGTCCAAACATGGTACACCACTGCATTCAAACTAGCAAACAGAATCTGCCTTCTGATTGCTTTATATTTCCAGATTTTCATCATTCTTGCAGCAGACAGTCTTTTGATCTGTGTTCTGATTCCCAGCCAGTGATTAATGCCAGCCATCATTTCCTGTGCATAGGAGCATTTAAAAAAGAAATGTGCTTCTGTTTCCTCCTCTTCCTTACACAGTATGCATGTTTGGTCTGTGACATTCATCTTCATGCTTCTCATTCTGTCTTTAGTTAGCAATCTACCTTTCCAAGCTAACCATGCACAGAAACAATGCTTAGGAAGAGAGAATTTACTCCAACACACAGCTGCTGGTATAAATTTCCCTCTGCTACCTCTCAGCCATCCATAGCCACTTCTAGCATCATACTGTTTACCCTTGTTCCCTTCCCAGCTGCCATTCACTACTCTTGCCTTTAGTGCATCTCTGATCTTCATCAACTTCTTCCAATGCCAGCTACAATCATTTGGAGGATCATAATTCCAAATACTCCTGCATTTTAAGTAATATATGTGCATTCATCTAATCCAGAGGCTATCTTTCTTTGATTCCAAATCCCACAACTGTTTTCCCAACAATGCTTTATTCCAATCACCTGGTTCCTTTATGTTTAATCCTCCATCTCTCTTTGTATAACACAGATCATTCCAGGCTACCAAAGGAAGGCATTTTCTTGATTCTTTTTCCCCCAACAGGAACTTCCTACAACAAGAAGTAATTTCAATAATAACAGATTGTGGAATAAGAAAAATACTTGCCCAATAGCTGTGAAGGATCATCAACACTGCATTGATCAACACTGTTTTCCCTGCATATGATAGATGCCTGGATTCCCAACATTTCATCCTTGCAGTTACTCTGTCCACTAGGTACTAGCATTCTGATTTACTCCATGTAGTTGGAGCAACTGGAAGTCCTAAGTATCTCATAGGAAATGTTCCAATTTCAAATTCCATCACCTGCCTTATCACTCTTTGTGTACTTTCTCCTGATCCACCAAAATACAGATTAGACTTCCCTTCATTGATTGTCAACCCAGTGGTGCTTGCAAAATGATCCAGAGTTTCTTTAACCTTCTTGACTGTACTTATCTCAGCTCCACAGAATATTAGAAGATCATCTGCAAAACTGAGTGATGTGATATTCAATTTTTCACAGTATGGATACTTCACACAAAGCCTTCCATGTTTGCCACCAATTCAAAACTCCTGGTTAGGTATTCCATTACTAGCACAAAGAGCAGTGGAGACATTGGATCACCTTGCCTTAATCCTCTTTGTCACACATTCCATAATCCATTTTCTGAACCTCTCAGGAAACTTGTATTCTTGCAACATTTCCTCAATAAACTCCCAGTGAACCGAATCATATGCCTTCCTTAAATCAACCTTCATCATACAGGAAGGCTTGGCTGATTTCTTGTTATACAATCTGATTAACTCTTGTGCCAGCAACACATTATGTAGAATTAATCTTTCCTTGACAAATGCTCCCTGATTGCACTCCACTAAATCTGGCAACACAATGCTCAATGTTTTACAGATCATCTTAGAGATGCATTTATATATGGTATTCAGGAGATTGGCCTGTATTCTGTGGCATTCTTTGGACTAGTGGTGGGTTGTCGAAGCCCCCAAAATAATTTACCAACTTAAACTGTAGATAGGATAAGTCAGGTCGATCCCACAGGGACGATTTAAACTTCAAATAACCAGAACACGAAATTGGACAAACAAGAAAGAAAGTTGCAGAGTGTCACTCACTTGCACGAGTGGGTAAAGTCACTCAGGCAAGTAACTCTGCAGAACTGAAAACAAACAAACACAAATGAAACCTCACTCACGGGAGTGAGAATTCCGACTCAAGGGACTGACTCAACAAACTGGATATTCATTCTCTTTTCCCTATGTAATCAAGTTATAATCTTGCACTCTTTTGGTATGAATTCATGCTCATTCAGGCACTTATATATCTCTAAGTCACTTCCGATTTTTCCTAGAGGTAACTTTATGAACTCAATTAAACTATTTTCCAATGATTAATCAAGTCATAAAGTCATGAAGTTTTCAAGCCTTATATGAATGCTTATGCTAACCAAGTATATTCCTATCTCAATTAGAACCTTGGACTGTTACCTCCAAGTCATAAGTTGAAGCTAAATGATTCTGAACCTTGTTTACCCTTCCGAGATTCACTTAGTTCTGTGCACAATCAATCAAATGGCCAATTTAATCAAGAGGTAGATGAAAGCTTTAACTTCAAAACACAAAATCATCCGAATGCAATCACAAACTTAAACTACATAGGTTCCAGAGAATGAAATCTAATTAACTACACATACAAACTACAGAAAATACAAGAAAAGAAGGAAAGCATGGAGAAGAAGCAAATATGGATGGCTGAGCAACAGGTCACTCGCCTGAGTGACAAAAGTCACTCAGGCGAGTGAGGTGTGTTACTCCTCTTTTTCTGCTACTGGACTTCTTCTTCCTTTGGAGTTTTCTCTCCTCTCTGCTCTCTTCTTCTCTCTCTGTTGTGTTTTTGTGTGTTGTATGTCCACTCAGATGTATATTTTTCTGCTGGGAATGTAGCCCCCTTTATAGAGCTTGTTGCCGGTTCTTCTTCCAAGATAGCCTCCCCATGCTTGTGAATTATTTATTCCTCCCAATGCTTTGTGTCTTGAATCCGAGAATTGACTGGTCTCTTGCCCTTCTCCAGCACTGGTATCAGCTGCAACATTGATCATCATGGGCGGTTGGGAGTCTAACCAAGGGGACAAGCATGCCCTTGGATGGGACACACATTAAATTGTGTCTTGTGTCTTGGAGTTGCTTTTTGACCCACTCAGCCCTCATTTTAAATTGGAATCAGCAGCCCAATTATTGCTCCATAAGCCCCCATTTTCAGCATTTGTTCACTTCGGTCCTCACCTATTTAGAAACACAAAACTAGCTAAGTAAAATGAACAAAGTCTAAGAAACATCCCTAATTTCTAACTAATTAAAGAGTAAAATTGCAATGCTTTTATGTAACAATTTGACCGTTATCAACTCCCCCAAACTGGAAGAATTGCTTGTCCTCAAGCAAAACAATCTAACCCCTTAAGAACTACACATAGAAACAAGAAAACAATCGCTAACCACTGACTCCCCTGAGTGAAAATGTCACTCAGGCAAGTGACATTGCAACGAATACACAAGAACTTCACAGCAACTATCAAACATAACTAGTTCATATGACAATTGGAT